CCCCCCGAAGAGGGGTAGTGATCTATTTATAGAGTTTCAAGTACAATTAATGTAGGATCGGACGGTCCGAAGAATTTTTTTTTATCAAACAACATTTGATAGACATTATAGTGCCTTCATGATGTTATAATTGACCGACATCGGACTTGTTGAATTTGTCTTATCGAGACACTCGATGCAGCAGCAGACTCGCCAGCTTCGACATTCATTTGACCTCCCAAATATACTCAAAAAGCTTATAAAGGTGATTTAATGGCTTGATCTGAACTTGATTTATTTTAGATTAAACCAATTGTAGTATCATTGGGTCCATCTCGTCAAGCTCGTCAGTTGGACCATAAGTTTGCTGAAATTAGAGCTCTGGATGTCTCTTAATCAAAGTTTGAATATTTTTTGCTAAAAAAAATTGTCTTGAGTTCCGTATACCACGTCTCTGGATTTATGTTGTAATGGAAATTTATTGAGGGTGTATCAGACACTCAGCCCTATTTTATTTAATATATATATATATATATATAATTACTATTATGACAGCAGCTTTTCAAGCAGTTAGATTTGTCCATCACAACTTTAGAACTCCCTTTTTAAAATACTACAGCAACTCCAACCAGATCATAAGCCTGCCCGCAGAATACAGGAACTTAGATTTTCAGCCAACTAATTATGTTTGTATTCTATCCTGCAGCACTTAGAGAGACAAAGCCTAAAAAATCGAAGGAAAAAACAAAATGTGTTTAGTTAAAGAAAGCACCTTAGACAAAATAAATCATGCTTTTCCCCTTGTTAATGATAATCCCAGACATCAGAAAGACGTGATGAAGTTTTTTTTGGAAACATGTTAAAGCATGTGCTGAGAAGATTGTCTTCTGAAATCATTCCATTTTTTAAAGAACGAAGCTTTTGCAAGTGGCGTGCAGTTCAATTTCCCCATGTTTATTTTATGTCAGTTTGGAATCAATTTTCTTAGGAAGATTTACATAAACATCACTCACTAAATGGGGCTCCATTAGATCCAATGCCTAACTAACAACTAGCCTGATTTCTCGTGGAGAATAAATTTGTCCAACTCCTTTGGTCCTTAACAGGTACGTATAGTCTTCAAAAATGTTTTCAAGTCAATTTCTCTTAATAATCAAGATATTCTAATCCGACATTACATTTGTGCAAGAATTCACATTCATGTTCGTGGGGCATTTAGCTGTATGGAGTATCCTTCATTTTTTTGTAGAGAGAGGCTATCCTATTATTATGCAACTGCACATACGACATCTACCTTAGAGCGAGAAAGGGTGCACACCTTTTCTTCTTTGCTCCTTACTTGGTTGTTGATCAATTTTATTTAGCTCATCATCCATAAGTGAGTGATATTCCCGACCAAATAATCTGAATCAATATAGTTGATGATGTGATCATAGAGGTATATGTGTGTTATTCCTTAGAAGATGGTCATTACAAGCTGCTAAGAATTTTATCTACACGTGATTCAGTCTATTGTGCCTTTGCTCTATTAGTATGGAAGCTTATAACCATAACCGGGTTGCCAGACAATTTGGATTTTCTCAAACTACTACTTATGATAGATTACCCATCATTCTCGATATTACTAATACTGCTCGTGTTGGATATGTTATATTGAAGGCGAGGATATATGTTATAACCATGAATTGGATGCATGTTCCTCGACTTGACATTGGTTTACGATTTTTCCTACCTCTACTAGATAGTTGTAAAAGAATGAGCTACACTAAATTGATATGGTTACAATTATCATTTAAGGCTTTCATGGAATGAGGACCCCGAAAATATGAGCGGTAAATTTGATCATAGGCATACCCTGTGAAGTACTGAGCCCAGGCATCTGCCCACATTTTTTGTCTTTGATTCTTGTCAACATCATATCATTTATGATTGATAAATTTTGTTCATTCTTTGGTTAGGTGAAGCTTATAATGATCACATCATAGCAAATGCAACTGCTCTATCCTAAAGGGTGAGACTGAGAAAGTCATCTCTAATTCATACAAAGATACTAGGCCCTGCTCGTAAACACGAACATGCTCGTTTTTTGGAGCCTCTTCAATCTCCGATGGATTGTTCAGCAAGCCTAGCTTCACGACAACTTCAAACATGTGATGGGATACTACATGAGCCTGGACTATCTGTTGGCGTTGAACATATTATTCCAGAAAGCTTCGAGATTGTTCCATCATTTCCCACAAATCTTTTCTTTAGCTTCGAGATTGAGGAGATGTCAAGAGTGGGGGAATTGACACATAGTTAGGGCCTCATTTTCCCACAGGTGGTTTAATCACTTTTGACTTACAAACTGTAATGTGAGAATCTTCATCAGAGATTCCTTTAGATTATACTAAGTCTACGTCTGACCCAGGTATTTATTGTCCTACTCTCTTTTCAACACTTTATGGTTTTATAATAATAGTTTCATTTTTATTATGTAGTTGTTGGAGTAGAGTACCAACCGGAGATTTGCTACAAGTATTCATTGGGTGTGAATCCTCACAACAGGGAGATAGATGATTGTAACTTAAGGCACTTATGGGACATCTTCAATGGGCTACATATAGGGTTTTCTGAATAGCTGCATTACTTTACTTTTGAAGCCAACATCACATTAAATTTCTTGGCTCATCTAGATGGCATGAAGTTGATGTACTTAAACTGATAGTGTCGTGACGTGCAACTCCTTATTAGGCGATTAATGTTACTAGGCATAGTCTGATCTAGCGTATCACTCCCAAATCTTCATGATCGGGTGAGAGTTGGTTGAGAAACTGTTGACTTAGATCATGAAGGGATCGAGATGAATACATAGGCTTCACGACATTACCAACATGAACCAAATAGTACTACTACAAAGCTTGACATCGTCACTTCCTGGACGAGTGCTTTATGGGGGGAGCTTCGAGCTTGGTAACTCGAAAATCAAATCTCCAGATATAGAGGATAGACATACTCAATCACTAGAGAGAGAGCAACGTTGTTATTAGACTCTTCATTAGGCTATGTTAGATGTTGAGGCTGCACTGACTCAAGCAATGGAGGCTTTATAGTATTGGGACCTAGTATCAATCACTTCTTATAATCATGTCACAACTTCATGACACATAGAATAAACTCCCATGATGTGCTTTTCTTTGCTGCATTTATATCAGCGTGTTAATACTCGAAGTATTTTTT